CACAATAGTTAAGAAATTTATTTCAAACTGATTTTCTTTCTAATGTTTACGTGTTGCTTCCAATCTACATATAACAACCGAAAATCGATAAATATCTATGATGGTCTCTATAAGTGAAGTGTCAGTATATTCAAAATGGAAAACAAGAATCGCTATTGGTTTTATGACCTGCTTACTATCAGGTGACAAATTTGAGGCAGTCGGCTTTATTCCTATTAGTTAAGTAGATTGGTATAGTGAATATATCAAATATAAAACAAAATATAAGAAGAGGACCTTTAAAAGTCCTTTCATTTTTCTTAAATATTGAACCTTTAAAGATATTCCGTTCTCTTGTGGCCGAACTTAACCTTTCCGCTCTTCTCTGAAGTTACAAATAATTCGCTCAATTACTCAAATATAAATTTTCAACATTTCATTTTATTCCGTAAATAAAATAATTTCAACATGTTTGCCAAAACACATAGCAATCAGCTTAAAAATAAATACAAAAAATTTATGAAATTTCTCTCTAAATAGTTCTTTGTAACTTCTTAAACTAATTAAAATAAACAAGATAGACGTTATACGATACCAGTATAACTTGAGTTGATTAAAGTTGACGTGTTCGTTAACACTGCACAGTGGTCGGTCTTGTATGGAATCAGCGGCCTATATCAAAGTGGAAATTGTTTCTTAGCTTTAATTATACACTGCACAGTGATCGGTCTTGTATGGAATTAGGGGCCAAAAATACTTCTACTGCCAAAAGCAAAATTGAAATTGTTTCTTAGCTTTATATAATAATAATGAGTAAACAATTTTTTTTCCAATAATCAAATCTCCAAACTCCTCTTCCACTAATTAATTAAAATATCAAAATTTAGGAGAAATAATTGAAATGATAAAGAATTTAAATCTTATTAAAATAAGTTGATAAATGAAAAAAACAAATTTAATGTTATTAAAATAACTCAAGAAATGATTTTATTAGAATTTTTTGCAAGGTAATTTTCTTTAACCAGTTATCAGAGGATCTGAGCGTAAAAGTAAGCGGTTAAAAAAGTCCTGATTTGTAGACACCCGTGAATTTTTTCGTGTATGATGCAGTCGGGACTTTCTTGACTCCGCAGTTTCTTCAGAGATCTCTCTAATTGAAACCAATACATATTGCACGACATCAGAAGTGTGGATCAAAATTGTATTCACTGAAAGATGAAAATAATACCAGGAATACCTGGATGTAAGTTCTCTAGAAGTATCTAAATTAATTTTTAATTGTATGCCCTAATTAGAAGGTTTACAGTAATGTTCCATAATTTTCAATTTGCTTTTCTTCTATACCAGTTATTTCAGCTGATAATTACAGACCCACTACCAACAGTTTTTGGTTTGTCGACAATTAAACCTACGTTTTTTTACGAAACTCGCCCTGAATATTTTGTTTCTTTCTTAAAGTTCGTTCTTTTTCTTCTAAGCCAATAAACCATTGTCTGACTTCAAGTCTATAAGAAACGTGAAGAAAAGACAATCCAAATTAGAATTAGCTTGGCATATGTAACACTTTGCAGATGGGGTTTCAGATTATGTGGTATGTGGAGAATACGATCGATGTAGAATTTTCGCTTGGTAGCGGTTTCGAGCTCAGTGTGAATCAATTCTTAAAACAAAATATACATCTAAACAAGAACTTACACGTGCATTAATACAACTATAATACACATACAAGGTGCGTTCCAAAGTAAACAGTACTTTAAAAAAAAAAGACAGAACCAATGGTTTTATCGGCAAAATCATATCATTTTATTTAAAATAGTCTCCTTCTGCTTTAATACAGATTTTTGCACGGTCCAAAAGCATGTCGAACGAGTGTTTTAGCTCGCTGCACGGTATGGCCGCCAGTATGCCGGTGCAAGCCTTTTGAATGGCCTCCACGTCTGCATAACGCTTTCCTTTCATCGGCAAATGCATTTTTCCGAAAAGGTAGAAGTCGCACGGTGAATACTGGGAGTGGATGATTGTTAAAATGTGATTTTTGGTCAAATAATCGGCCACAAGCGTCGATCGATGAGACGGCGCATTATTGTGCAACAAACGATGCATTAATACAAAGAAGCAAGTAACAGGCAAATTTTATTTTAAAAAATCAGTCAACTATATTTTTTTTTATGAACTACAGTTAGCTTGACAAATAAGCTAACACAGTTAAATATTATTTCTTTGGAATTCAAGAAAATAACATAGAATAAATCATACATAGGAAAATTGTCGTTTATAGAGGTAAATACAAAAGAGGCTCTTAGTTATAGAGGTCAGAGTGGGAAAAACGACTGTCACTTATGGAGGTATTTGTTTCTCACTCATAGAGGTTTTTGAGAGGTCAATGTGCGGGACCTGAGAATTATTCTCACTTATAGAGCTTTCTCGCTTACCCAGTTCTCTCTTACTCAGTTTTGACTGTATATATAATTCCGCAACGAATATAATTAAACTTTTCCTATTTGACAAGGTGGTCAAAGAAACAAAGGACATGCGTAATAGTACATGTTTGAAACCAGACGTAAACCCCCTAAGGGATTTATTGTATTTACATATTCAAATTCAAACGAAAAGAAACAGAGGGCTTACTACTGAAGATCTAGAATTAAACGACCGATTATCACAGTGGAGAAAGCGTTATGACAAAATGGGAATAAACAGAACAATACTGTAGCTAGTTGTGATAAACAGTAAGAAAACGATCAAAAGTAATCGAATATGTGGATGATCTCATATCGTTAGCCGCAGGTAACGTTAGAAAATCTTCCGCAGCGAAATATTCACCGTTTTTAATAGAACTATAACAATAAATGGCTTCAGTGAGGTTTTCTTAATCGAGATGGAAGATACCACTAATTCCATATATACGCCAAGTATAACACCAGATGGTAGGCATCACAACTTATATTGCACGTATATCATATGCAGGAGTTCTCCTGAAATATTCGGCAGTATGCCGCCCAATTTATACCCATGAAGTTTAATTTGTGTTATTTAACCAGATAGAGGTCCTTCAACTACTGCTTAATTGCACACTCTCGCAATATGTTGCTACAGAGTATAATTTTTTCACCTAACGGTTGTTTGTATCCCCTAAAAATGATCGAGTTCGATATAGTGTTATATACAAATACATGAATGATTAGTATGACAGACGTTGAATCAGTTGATCTTCATACAGCTTAACAATAAAATTGAGATATGTAATAGTACACGTATCCTGGCAAGGAAGGAACGATTCGTAGAGGTGTAATCGAGCACCACGCCCACAAAACGCCATTAATCAAAAACATATAAATATCCACTACTAAGCCACAAATTAAAATACAGAACTGTAATTTTATACAACGAATCGCAATAACGAGGCACCTGTGGTATGAAAATTTAAAGTGGGCGTGCCCGTCCGCTAATAGGTTTAATGTACATATACCAAAACATTCAAGCTACATCATCCAAATGTTAATATCTAAGATATCTTAGGAATATTAAATAAACTTATCACAATATACACTACGAAAATCGTTAATGCCAAAATATGTGAAATAAGTCACCGAATTTCCAGTGCTTATATACTATGTCTATACATGTAAATATTTTCGATATTTTAGCAGACTCTCTACTAATTACGTCAATTGTGAGTTGTTTTCCTAAATGAAACCATGTTTCGAATATATTTGATATGTCAAAGTTAGCAACAGTCCAGATCCCCTATCCCCATCATAAGCCATATAATGGTTTCCATTTATTTTGACTTTTCATTTGACTTTAAAGCGTTCATGTCGGTCAATTTGTGATATTCTACATTTTAATATAAATATTTCTGACTCGAAGCAAAAAGTAGTAATGAAACTAAGTGAGTATACGACTTATCATAAACATAAGTTTATAATAGATGTTTAATTCTTACGCAACATTTTTATACTCTTGCAACATGTTGCTACAGAGTATATTTGTTTTGTTCACCCAACAGTTGTTTGTATCACGTTAAGCTACTCGAGATAAATATAAAGTTATGTCTATATAAATGATCAAGATGATGAGACGAGTTGAAATCCGGGTGAATGTCTGCCTATCCGTCCGTGCAAGCTATAACTTGAGTAAAAATGTGGATATCTTAATGAAATGATTGGTACACATACTTGTATTACTTGTCATCGTTAGAAGTTTGGTATTGTATGTTATATGGGCGGAATCGTACTACTGCCACGCCCACAAAACCCTATTAATCGAAAACACCGTAACTAAACCGTACGTTAATACTGAACTAAATTTAACACAACGAATAGCATTAAGGACGGCACCTGTGTTTTAATATGCAAAGTTTTACGCTGATATAATCATGTTTGCTTGATTTGCATACTGAAAAGTGAAAAAATCAGATGGAATTTAAAATGATGTTATATGGGAAATAGGCGTGGTTGTAATCCGATTTCTCCCATTTTCGTACTATAACATAGAAGTATGAGAAGAATATTATTTACCGAATTTGGTTGAAATCGGTTAAACAGATCCCAAGATATGGGTTTTCACCTAAAAGTGGGCGGCGCCACGCCTACTATCTAAATTTAAAACGTGGTTCCTATAAAAATCATCTTATACCATCCCAGAAATAAAATTTAATGTCTTGTTTAGTGCTTGATTTATCTCGCTTTAAGTAATTTTTAACAGTACTGTTATATGGAGAGTGGGCGGAAATGTCTCCCGATTTCACCCCTTTTCACACCGTCGATAGAGATGCTCCCAGTGAATTTTGTTATTATAGCTTAAGTGGTATAGGAGATATGCACATTTAACTTATTAAGGAGTGGCGCCACGCCCACTGTAAAAAAATTTTAACTGCAGATGCCCCTTCCGAATGTAATCCTGTATACCAAATAAGAGTCTTATATCTTGTAGTGGAGCTTAGTTATGGAAATTTATGATCTATCTCCAATACCAATCGTCTTACGGTCGGACGGACGGACGGACGGACAGACAGTCACCCGGATTTCAACTCCTCTCTTCATCCTTATCATTTATATATACATAACCCTATATCTAAATCGATTAGTTTTAGGTGATACAAACACCGTTAGGTGAAAAAAATTATTATACTGTAGCAACAAGTTGCGAGAGTAAAACAATGGGTAAACATATTATTACATAAAAATCACTACACAGGCCGCTTGATTTTATGGTATTTTATCCCTCTTTATTCGTAGAACATACAACCGGGATTTACCAGAAATGAATTTACCGTTTGTTTTATTGTTGTTTTAAGAAATAATTTTGATACTTAGAGTGGCGAATTTCGAAATTATTTTTTTTTGGGATTTTTGGCCTATAAAATCGACCACAGTGCACTGTGCAGATAAGTGAAATTGAGCCATTGTTTCGTCTGTATAACGGTGTTATTCAAAAATGTATAATGCAGTCAAACCTGGCTAAGAGAGGGACCATGATTTTTTTCCCGCTTATAGAGGTTTCTCACTAATACGAGTTTCTCGCTCATAGAGGTACAGAAGCGGTTTGTCTCACTTACAGAGGTTTATCAATGATATTCAAAATATTTAGTTGTAAACATGATAAAAAATAATAAAAGAATAATTTATTAGAGTGATTACAAAGTGGTTACAAATGTTTTGATTTTTTCGTGGTCAAATAATGCGGCCATCAAAGCGACGATCGATGAAGACGGCGCATTATTGTGCACCAACGCCAACTTCCATCTTCGCGATATTCGGGCCGAACACGTCGAATACGGCGCACCAACACTTCAAAACTCCAAGGTAGAATACCGCATTAACGTTTGGCGCGGGTGGAACAAATTTTCGCACGATGGAAAACATACTGACACTTAAACGCAATAGCTTCACTTCCAATAGGTGAAACATGTCATGAATTTTACTAGAAGTCGATAAAGGATAGATTCTAACGCACTAGTCGACATATAGATGCGCACTAGAGTTTACTTGGTTATTTTTACTGTTTACTTGGAAACGCAGCTTGTATAAGCAAGGCAATCACAAAACATTGTCAACAAGAATAACACAAAAGGGCAAAGTGACAGCTCTCAAATACCAACTGGTAAAACAATAATTTTAAACAAGTAAGGAAGGCTAAGTTCGGATGTAACACGAACATTTTATACTCCGAAAGTCAAATGGTATACTGCGTTTATTTCTCGTGTTCTATGTGTGACGCATATTTTCGGTAAAAGTCAACTATAGGCACTGTGTCCGTATGTTCAGTACCTAGGGGCTTGAACAGTTTTGGTTCAGTTTGAGTAATTTTGGTCACAAAGTATGCCATAACTTAACGTATTATTCACGGCAAGTATACGACTTATCATAAACATAAGTTTATAATAGATGTTTAATTCTTACGCAACATTTTTATACTCTTGCAACATGTTGCTACAGAGTATAATTCTTTTGTTCACCAAACAGTTGTTTGTATCACGTTAAGCTACTCGAGATAAATATAAAGTTATGTCTATATAAATGATCAAGATGATGAGACGAGTTGAAATCCGGGTGAATGTCTGCCTATCCGTCCGTGCATGCTATAACTTGAATAAAAATGTGGATATCTTAATGAAATGATTGGTACACATACTTGTATTACTTGGCATCGTAAGAAGTTTGGTATTGTATGTTATATGGGCGGAATCGTACTACTGCCACGCCCACAAAACCCTATTAATCGAAAACACCGTAACTAAACCGTACGTTAAGATACTGAACTTAAATTTAACACAACGAATAGCATTAAGGACGGCACCTGTGGTTTTAATATCTTTAAAAAAAAAAAGACAGAACAAATGGTTTTATCGGCAAAATCATATCATTTTATTCAAAATAGTCTCCTTCTGCTTTAATACAGACTTTTGCACGGTCCAAAAGCATGTCAAACGAGTGTTTTAGCTCGTTGCACGGTATGGCCACCAGTATGCCGGTGCAAGCCTTTTGAATGGCCTCCACGTCTGCATAACGCTTTCCTTTCATCGGCAAATGCATTTTTCCGAAAAGGTAGAAGTCGCACGGTGCCATATCAGGTGAATACTCCCCGTATTGTTAAA